AGCCTCTGTGATGAAACTACCTTTCTCTTCTTGAAAATGAAAACTGTCTATTAGTGAATGGGCAAGGTATTTGAATTCTGGAAAACTGCAGGATGGTATGGTCACCACCTCCCGGGAAGCATCAGCAAAAGAACCCAAAGAAGTGAACCTGGCAAACAAAGTTGCTCATCACACAGATCTGACAGGTCTCCCTGGGTATGCTGGTTCAAACACCTTCTTGGGCTAGGGATCCGGTGGAAGGTGTGGAGAGGATACCAGGTCTCAAACCGGGAAAGGGAGGGCCTGGTCCTGAAGTCTGGAAAGAGCCAGGTCTGAAGGGTTTTGGGGGAGAGGCAATGGAGGATGATCTGCCAGAGCCTTCATGTGGGGTGGGGGGCTTGTTTCAGCTAAAGGAACCAGCATTTCAACTAAAGCCAAGAACCAGTCCGGCCTTACTCACAGCTCTAGGGAAAGTGGGCCTGAGAGGGAGTGACAGACATAGGTGGGCCAGGGCAAGAAGAAAGCACCCAGGACTGGGCTTAAGGCTACATACATCATGTGGGGTTAACTGAAGATTCCCATTTCTACCTCACCTCCCAGTGCAGGGATCCCAGGAAAGGGCTGGAGGGAAGGGGGAACAGAGAGGGGAGATATGTGGGGAAGAGAACAGACAGGGAACATAAGTGAGGAGGGGGATGGAGAAAGCAGATATGTAGGGGAGACATGGGGAGGGGGGACGAAGAGGGGAGATAAGTAGGGAGGAGGATGAAGAGGGGAGATACGTGGGGAGGGGCATGGAGAAGGGGAGACATGTGGGTAGCTCGAGATGGAAGAGTAGGAAATTCAGATGGAAGCCAAGACCACAGAACAGCAAAGGGGCTGCAGGGCAGGTCCTCCCCTGAAAGAGCAGTTGCCTACAGTGAGCCAGGAGCAGTAGGGTGGGGCCATCAAAGGGAGCCAGGAGGCTGGGGTCCTCTCTGACTAAGCCTGGAGCTACAGCCCCATCTGCCCTGTTTCCTGTTGGAAACTCTGAGCTGACAGAATGCTCCAGTGGCCGCTACAGAGCTGAGTCACCGGCAGTGCTTGGGGCGAGGCTGAGGGGCAGAAGTAGGGGGGCTCACAACTGAAGCTGACAGCAAAGCTCCCCTTCAGGGTCCAGGCTCACCAAGCCCACTTCCACTTCCCAGGGGCAGTGTTGCCCAAGAGAAGCCTGGAAGGCTCAAGGAAAAGGGGAAAATGGAGAATGGGGAGAAGCAGAAGAGAGAAGAAAGGAACGGAATGGGGGAGGGAGGAGGTCGAGGATTCCCACATCTACAACCACAAAAGGGGGAGGCAAGGAAGTACCTGGCCTCACATCACACCCACTGTGAGCAGGGGACCACAGGAACCCAGGAGATGGACTGAACAAAGTGTCCTGCTACCGGGGACTGAGAAGGGAGGGAAAAGAAGAGAAGTGGATGCAATAAGGTGGAGGAGAGGAGCCTGGGCATCCTGGCACAGGGGAGATCCCAAAGCCTTGGGCTGCCCCAAACTTCCAAGAAGCAGAAAGGATATTTGTAGAGTGCTTAGCAAATGCCTGGCATATAGCAGGTGCTTAATAGATGCTTCTTCCCTTCTTCCAAAAGGGGCTGTAACTGTGGCCAAACAGAAAGATGTCACCTGAGGACCCAATTTCACCTTAGTCTCCAGAAAGACGGAAAGATGACCTGGCAGTCTGACTCCATGAGTCCCATATCAAGCATCTGAAGGTCTGCAAAGTGCTTTATGAACACCATCTCACAGGATCCTCAATGATCCCCAGCCCTTTGAGGGCAGTCCTGCAGGTCACTATTTTCCCCATTTTGCAGATGAAGAAACTGAGGCTCAGAGAGGTTAAAGGATTTTCCCCTAGTAACACAGCTAGCAAGTATCAGAGGTAGGATTAGAATCAGAGCATCTTCTGACCCCCAAATACAGAGCCCTTTAAACTATACCACACTGCCTCCAGGATCATCAGGAATATCTATTCTCCTACCCCCAACTATAGTATCACAGCCTTTGGACTAGAAAGGATCTCCAAGGTCATCTAATAATAATAGCTAATAATAGCTGGCATTTATATAGTACTTGAAGGTTTGCAAAATGCTTTACAAACATCTCATTTTTGTCCTTGTAACAACCCTGGGAGGTAGGTGCTATTACTGTTCCCATTTTACAGAAGAGGAAATTGAGGCACACAGAAGTAAAATTACTTGCCCAGGGTCACCTAGCTACTACGTGTCTGAGGCTGGACTTGAACTCAGGACATCCTGACTCCAATGCCACTTCACCTCCCAGAGGTCTTTAGCATAATACCCTCCCCACCCCAAACAGAAGGCTAAGTGACTTGCCAAAGGTCACGCAGGTAGCAGGTATCAACCCCAGGTCCTCTGGGTTCCTTTTTCCACTATACCATGAGATTCAATTTCCATCCTATTAAATCACCCAATGTAGTTCCAAAAATCATCTCTAGCCACAGGCTTTTCACCATCCTCTTCTGTGAGGGACCCACCCTTTATACAATCCTCTTTCTCTTCAAAGCAACCCCTTGGGTTGATGTAGGAACCCTCTGCCTCAGGCTCAAGTCCCTCTACTATTCCCCAGCCATCCTTCCTGTCACTCCTTAGCCAACTCCAACAACATCGAAACTGAATAGGGATCAATGAACAGTCCTGAAGTGGGGATTCAAGTTGTCAACTGCACAAATAATAGGTAAGGGGAAACAGGGAGAGAGAAAAGTTTTTCTAAGAGAGGCCAGGAGGTTTCATTGGACTACAAGCTACATGCGAAGCTACAGCTCCATATGACAGACAAAACCTCAATGCCATCCTAAAAACCCACTATGCCTAGGAGGCATAGTGTCTAGAGGGAAGGGAGATAACAGTCTTATCCTCTGCCCTGGTTAGTACTTAGGCACTGACAACCTGGAGCATGTCCAGAGGGTGACAATCAGGATGGTGAGAGAACTGAAAACGAGGCTCTAGATACAAGGATGGACTGAAGGACCTAGGAATGTCTAGCCTGAAGAAAAGACAACTTAGGGGTAGGAGGTGCGGTGGGCATGATAGCCTTCTTCAGGTATGTGAAGGGATGTCACACAGAAGAGTGAGTAGGCTCATTCTGCTTTATCTTAGAGGGCAGAACTGAGAACAATGGGTGGGAAATCACAGAAAAATGATTTAGGCTTTTTTTTGGGGGGGGGGAAGGAGGGTAGGAGATAGGGATAGGGAGGGGAATCCAGACCTGTGATTTTATCTGTATAAAGAAAACTTCTGCTGAGGAAATTCCCTTCGACAATGAAGAGTGGCAATTTACAAAGATCTGACTTTGTGTAGTCAGAAGTTAAGTGACTTGCCCAGGGTCACACCCCTAGCATGTGTTAGAGGTGGCATCTGAACATGTTTTTCCTGACCATCTCTCTCTCTCTCTCTCTCTCTCTCTCTCTCTCCCCCTCTCCACGGCACCATGCTTCCTCTCTTAAAAACTACATCAAGATTTAGGTGTGACAAAAGGAACAGCTTCCTAAAAATATGTCCCAAAGTAGACCAGGCTGCCTTGGGAGGTAGAAGTAGATCTCTCTCTCCCCATCCAGGTCTGATATTCTAGGCACCTCCCCATCATCTCCCAGGCCCACTTCTAACTTCCTATTCCCCTCACTGAAGCTTCCTAATCTATAAGAGGTGGTAGTAGGGGGGTGGGGGGGCAAAGTAGGGTCACTGGAGGCAGTAACCCATCTACCCAATCAGAGCATAGAACAAGGGAATAGGCGGGGAGAAGGCTAGCCCTAGACAGCCTGCTCATTGGCCAGGTCAGAGCAGAAGGGAGAGGAGAGAAATGAGAGGTAATGAGAGGTGGTCAGAGAAGTGCGGGGGGAGAGAAAAGGGAGCTAGGGGGTGGGCAGAGAAGGGATAATAGGATCAGAGTTTTAGAGCTAGAAGGGAATCCGGAGGCCCTCTTGCCCAAACTCCTCATTTTACAGTGGGGGAAACTGAGTCCTACAGAGGTTAAGTGATTCTCCCAAGGTCCCAGAGGTAGTAGGTAGCAGATCTGTGCATCCAATTCCACACCTAACACCAAATCCAGCAGCCTTTCTACTCTGCTACACTGGACGCTGCAAGGAGAGAAAGGGGAGCACCAGGGTGGGAGGAGTGGGCCAGGGGAGACAGAGGAGAGCGGAGGATGGATGGGGGGGGATGGCAAAGAAGGCAGCTGGGGGAAAAGAAGAGAATTTACAAAGCACTTTCCTGGGGATAACTCTTTGAGGTGAGTAATACAGGTGTTATTATCCCCATTTTATAGATGAGGAAACTGAGGCCTAATGAGATGATGTGAATGACTCACGGTGACACAAGCTGGTAAGTGTGGGCGCCAGGAGCCAAACCAACATCCTCTGACTCCAAGTCCAGCCCCGCTTCCCTCCTTTCCCTGGGCCCTCCTCCCTATGAGCCCACAGGCAGGCCCCCCAAGCCTGGATCTTTGTTGAGCTAGAGAAGAGGAAACCTCAACTCTCTAGCTTCAAGCACCCTCCTGAGCCTGGTCCCAAGGGAGTGAGGCTGAGGCTGGGGAGGAGCAGGGGCCTAGGCTGAGATTAGTCCTGGGACAGGGGCGGAGCCAGCTAAGAACAGCTGTCCATGCCTATCCAGGGCCCTAAGCAGCACGCCTGCCTCCAGCACCCCCAACACTCAGGCCCTGAACCGGGCCTCTTGCACCCCTGCTCGCAGCTTAACCTCAGTGCCCAGGGCTCTGCCCATCGATGAGGAAGAGGAGGACAGGGAAGGATACCCACCAGACCTGCCCATGTCCCAGCTCATGCCAACTAAGAAGCCCAGGCAATGCCTCAGGATCCAGCCAGGAGAGAGAGGGTGACACCTACTGGTCTCTCTGAGGTCCCCCCCAACCCAAGAAAAGTGACAAAGATCTCCAAGGTCCCTATAGGGTCCCTCAAGCTCCACAGAATCCCAGCTGTCCCACCCCCAATTCCCTCCCAGACAGGGGCTGCTGACCTGGGGCAGGGGTGGGCTCCGGGGCATTCCGTGCCAGGGCCCCCCGGGAAGTGGGCACCACCAGTGGCTCAGGCACCTCCTCATCCTCCTTCCGGCGATAGGCCTGCCGCTCTTCCCGGGCACTGTCAGGGCGCTTAGGAGGGCTGCTCAGGGGTCCCTGCACTGTCTGTACCCGAGCAGGTGCCCGACGGGCAGGAGCCACCATGGCCACGGGACGGCGGACGCGCTGCAGGGACGCAGGCACGATCTCAGGGGGAAGGTGCAGGTACTGGCGCAGGTGAGCAACGCCTTCGTTGGTGAGGTACCAATAAAAGTGGCGCCACGCAAAAGTCTCCCGCACCAGGCCTCGTGCCCTCAGGGAGCCCATGGCCCGAATGACCTGCAGGTTGGTGACCCCGCCAGGCACATGGGGGTGCAGGCTCTGGGGTCGCAGGTCCTTCTTGGCCACCATCACACCTTCCCTGAAGAGCAGCTCATAAATGGCCCGGAGCTGGTCCAGGGGCATGAGCATGCCAGCCACCATGGTGAGGACGGGCAAATGGGGAACCCGGGAATCAGCGATCAGCTGCGGGCTGCGGGCGGAGCCCAGGGAGAAAAGGGAGGCAGCGGCAAGCTGGGAAGGCAGCTTCCTCTCCCCAGGGCCAGGCAGACGGCTGGCCGACAGGCAGGCGGGGCACAGGAATGAACAGCAGGGCAGCGAGGGGAGCAGCCCAGCCGGTGGGAGTTCAGCGGCAGAGGACTCCTCACTGAGACGGCAAGGGAGGGACGGCACTTAGCACATGCCCCGCACTGAGCCCTGAGGATCTCCCTGGCCCAGCCTGGGCCCCGGGCCCCACCCCCTCTGCGCTGCCTGCCAGGCAGCTCAGTCCCAGCCCCCTCTGACTCAGCAGCCAATGGGCCCGCTGCCCCTCCCGGCCAGACTGCCGCCACTTGGGTGGGGAGGGTGCTTTGGGGGTAGAGAAAGGAGGAGGGGATGAGGGGGCTCAGCGCCCCCAATATACCACTCCTCTATCAGAAATTACTTCATTTTTGAAACACTTCCTTCAACAGTCTTAAGTGGGGGTCCTGAGGCAGGGGCCAGATGGAAGTCATTGGCACAGGGGCTGGGAGGCCTGGGGGGTGGAGTAAGATGGGGGTCGTCTGTGGATATTGGTTTGGGGCTGAATGAGCTGAAGGTCTGAGGCCTAAAGGGTCCCAGGAGAACGAGACAAAGAGCTAAGAACCTGGGAGGGGGCCATGGCTAGGCTGGGAAGGGGAAGTGATGGAGCTCAGAGAAAGAAACATTAGTGTTAGAAAGTAGGAAGAGGATTCCCCTGCTCTCCAGCCCCCAATCCTTTGGGAAAGAAAGTGTTATCCCCAGAACTTGAGGGGCCAGCCAGAATAAGCTGCCTAGCTAAAAGGGCAGTGGCCCCAGGGCCTGGGTACCCATCCTCTTTGCTTTTCCTGGGGATTCTATAGAGAGATACAGGTGCCCCTACAGCCAGGAAACATTTCTGATTCAAGTCCAGATCCCCTCCCCTTAACCTTTTCTGTGTCAGGCCAGATTAGGAGCAGCACTGAACACTTTGTTCCCCAAGGTGCCACATAACTTCCACCTGGATCCTGCGGCCAGGATCAGCCGGCGCCTCAGGAGGCCGGGCAGCGCCGTCTGTGTGACCCCCAGCAAGCAGAACTGGGCAGCATGGCCCAGAAGAAGAATCTGTCTTTCCAGCTGCCACGAGGAAATCAAAGTCACCCTGAGGCTCAGTCTTGCTCTGCCCCGCCCATGCTGCTATACATTCCAGGGGGGAGGGGAGGGAGAGAAGACCAGGCCCCGAATGGGGTGGGTGATGCTGAGCACATGCTTCTTCCTGGGGGCCTCTGCCTCAGATTCCCCTGTAGGCTAAAGTGAGGACAGGAGGAGAGGGGCACAGGGAAAAGGGGCAAAGGAGTGGGCAGAGAGGAGAAGGGTCAAAGGCATGGAAAGAGGATCAGAGAGGTGAGTGAGCAGAAGCAAGAAAGGAGAAGAAAAGTGTGTGTGGCCAGTGTGGGGTGGGAGAGAGATGGCTAAGTGGGTGAAGAGGGGCAGGAGGGGAAGAGTTTGGGAACTGGAGGGATGCGTGGGACAAAGTGACATGAGGAGGTAAGGATGAGTGTGAGAAACAGGGCGGGTAAGACAGGTATAGAGAACAAGGGGGGGGGGACAATAAGTGGCAGAAATAACTGAGGGAGACAGGTGTGGGCAGACATGTATCCTCACCCCCAATCAAACACCCTTCCATTCATTCACACACTCAGAACCTCAGAGCCCAGTGATAAATAGGGCAGCTGGGAGAAAGGGGAGGGGGGCAGATCCGGAATGGGAGGGAAGAGTAGGCAGTAGGCCTGGGGGGCGGGTTTAATGGGGCTGTCACCATAGCAGCAAGGAGCACACAGGCAAACAGAGCATCCCCCACCCCCTGACGTGGAAACTTTGAAGTCAGAGCTGAGTCTGGCCAGTTCCCACAGACCACAGAGGGATAGGAGAGAAGGAGGGAGGGAAGGAGGGAGAGAGGCCCTGGCACCACAGGGCACAAGGGGAGGCACAGTCTGGGGGAACACGTTCTAAACCATCTTGGCTACTGGCATCCTTCCCCTAACGCCCAGTCAGGGAGATAGGGCAGGGCAGGGGGTGCAGAAAAGACCAGCTCCCAGCAGGGAAGGAGACCAGGACAACCGGTCAATGAGACAGTGGCTTACCTAAGGTTCAGAGATTCAGAACTTCTCCCTCCCCATTTCTCCTCAAAACCCTCTATTGCAGGGGTGCTTTATCATGGACCCCTTGGGCAGTCTGGTGAAAACTGTGGACCCCTCCTCTCAGAATAGTGCTTTCAAATGCATAAAATAAAACACAAAGGAATACAATTAGAGTGAAATGCAGTTATCAAAAGTACCAAAGTTCAGAGACCCCTGAAATCTATCCAGTCTTCCTGGAACCAAGGCTAAGAATTACTGCTCTAGAGCCCCCACCCAACCCCCAACCAGAGAATCACAGACTGTCACTGCAGGGAAGGACACAACCTCAGACGTATCTCGTCCCACACGCAACATGTGGATCATCCTGCCATTGTCTGCTTAGATGCTTCTGGAGTCGGCTCATTCGACTTCGAGAAAACCCTAATCGGCAGAAAGTTTCTAACTAAATGGGACATCGAGCCAAAGCTCTCTGAAACATGTACTTCGTGTTTCTTGTTCAGTTCTCCGAGTCCAAGAAGAAGCAGAAAACCACAGAATGATAGGGTTGGAAAAGCACTGTTCCAACCCCCACCCATTAAGGAATTCCCATTATGACATCCCCAACAAGTGGTCGAGGGCTCTGCTGAGCCACTCATTCCACTTTCGGACAGCTCTCATTGAGAGGAAATTTTTCTTAACATAAATCTTACATTTGCCTCTCTCAGATTCCCCACCCAGTGTTGCTAATTCTGCCCTCTGGGGCCAAATAGAACACACCTAATCCCTCCCCATGTGACAGAGCTTCAAATACTTAAAGACAGCTATCAAGTTCCCCCAGAATCTTCTTTTCCCCATTCCTGATGGTTCAAGGTCTGTGGGTTTCAACAAAGACAAATTCACAAATTCACTCTTTTGTTTCTGAGGGTTAATAAAAGGAAGGAAGATCAGACTACAGGGCTCTCCTCTGCCTCTCACACCTACAATCTGTGTGACCAAGCTGTGTGACAGGTCCCTCAACCTAAGTCTCAGTTTCCCTCTTAATAAAATGGGACTAATGAATGCCTTTAGTACTTTATTTCATGGAGTTGTTGGGAGGCTCACATGAAAGAACATGTCTTGCAGAATTTAAAATCTAATGCCTCTTCAATTCAATTTTATTCAGTTTGACAATAATTCACCTACTATATGCAAGGCACTGTCTGGAGATACAAAGACAAAAAAAAAAACAGTCCCTGCCTCCAAATGCTTACATTCTACCTGAAGGAAACACCATTTGACAACCCTTTAAATACTTGAAGACACATATCAGTCAGTCCCAAGTCATCTCTTCTCCAAATGAAATATTCCCAGTTCTTTTAATCAACCTTCAAATGGCATAAGCCCAAGGTCTTTCACCTTCCTCATCACCCTCCCCACCACCGTGGCCACCACCACTACCGCCATGCTCTTCAGCTTATCAACATCCTTCCTAAAATGTGGCATCCAGACCTGAACACCATATTCCAGATGTGGTCTGAACAGGACAGAGGACAGCAAAACTCTCACATCTAGGTCTGGACACTTCTTCTCTAAGAGCAGCCTAAAATCATTAGCTTTTTTTGGTTGTCATATCCAGCTGTTGCAACATTCACATTTACTAAAAATAAAGGTAGAAATTTACATTCTGACAAATCCAAAAGCTGGTCTCTTGGCTATCAGGAGGAAACTGTCCACCTCTGCTTCTTCTCCACACCCCCAGCAAAGGCAATCAAACTGTCCTGGGTGGGGGGAATTCCCAGCCCTCCCCTTATATTCCAGAAGCACATTTATTTGGTATTCCAGACCTCTCCAGCATTTGTCCACCCATATGGACCATCCACCCAAGACTCAGACCAACCCTGAGCAGGAGGGAAGAAAGGAATTACTGTACTGTTCCTACTTAACAGACTCATCAGAGTTGGCAAGAAGGTCACTGGGTCACTGGGTCAACTAGTCCAACTGATATCTGAACCAGAATACCCTCTACAACACACCTGATGAGTGTATTTGAATAAATCATCAATGAAATCCATCCATTCACCCATTCATCTATCAATCCGCCCATTCATCTAGCTTATGCTTGAAGTTCTTTCGTAAAGAGGAAACCCATCACCTCTAGAGGTAGTTCATTTGATGTTTATATGATTCTAACTGTTAACCAAAGTTTTTTCCTTACATCAAACCTAAATCTTACCCTCTGAAAATTCTCACCATTTGACACATAGGGATACAGACACTCAGAAAGGATAAGTGTTTTGCTAATGGAACATAACATAGTAGGAGAGTCAGAATGGTGGAACTTTAGAAATCACCTGGTCCAGCCTCCTACTCAATTTGAGGGGCCTCTCTGAAATAGGTCTGACTATAATATTCAACCTTTGCTCACTCCCAGTGACTGGGAAGTCCACCATTCCATTTTTGGACAGCTCTACCCGTTAGGAAGTTCTTCCTTTCCTGGCTTGAAATGGACCTTCTCGGATCCTAGTTCTGCTTTCTGGGGTCTGATGGAACACATTTAATCACAGGAGCATAGATTTAGAGCTGAAAGGATCCTCAGGAGTCATCTACTCTAATTTCTTCATTTTACAGATGAAGAAAATGAAGCCCAGGAAGAAATGACTTGTTCAAGGTCACACAAGTAGTAAGTGTCAGAGCTAGGATTTGAACCCAGCCCTCCAGCTCCAAATCCAGCACCCTTTTCATTGGACCACACCCTCTCCCTCTTCTGAATGAGGGCCCCCAAGATAGTTGAAGACAGAAACCATGTCACTCAGTGCAGAAGAAAGAATACTGGCCTAGGAGTCAAGAGATCTGGGCTTTAGTCTCTACTCTATCATTACGCAGCTGTGTGACCTTAGGAAAAACACAGCCTCTCTAGGCTTCATTTTCCTCATCTGTAAAATAAGAGAATTGGGCTAGCCCAGATTCCTTCTAGTTCTAACAATAAATGAACCTGTGCCCACTGTCTTCTTTTATCCAGGCCAAATGAATATTCAACTAATATTCAGATGACAACTTCCAGTGTCTT